AATGCAAATATGATTACAAAAAGAAACTGCTTTGGTTTCATATATGCCAACATCCTTTCAAACAACATTAGAAGCTGAAGCACGAACAGCAGGGGGCCAACTTTTACTTGAAGACCAAAAAATGAATGCAGAGAAGTCTCTGATATGCCAGGAAGAAACTTGAAGACCAACAGTTTCCAAAAAAGAAAAGCAGTCTTTAAAACAGAAGTACATCTGAATAAGGAACAGTGCTAATAACAGACAGAACCATACTATGAAAAACATATGACATCACACATCATGACAAAGAAGAAACGTCTGCTGATGTGTCTACACTGTCTGCCAAAAATATACTGAAGAAAGAATTAAAAAAAAAATTCTAAAATAAAAATATCCACTGATTGAAGTACAGTGCATACAAAGTGAAAATGATATCACTAAACATATGTGAGACTGGAAGCCTATCAAGATCATTTCAGTGGTATTTGTTAAGACATCCCAGGTAAGAACTCCAGCACAAAACTGCACAAGAAGGTTGTTCTGGGTACAGCACATATCCTAAGCTACTAGTGCAAATGTGTTTTCCACGAAGTTGCTATGTGATGAGCCTTAGGACCGCTCAATCATGGATCATGGACAGAACACCCTGAAATATGGTGCAAGAATATAATGACAATGATGATCACAGTTATAATAAGGGGACAAATAAGGGCTTGATAAACCAAACAGGACTGCTGGAAGTAATGGTGTGGTATGACAAGGAGCCATATTTCACCCACTGTTCTAAATATTTATAGTGACAATGCCATTAGAGAATGGCAGGAAAAATCAACAGTTTATTATTAACAAGCAAAGCTAAACCATCTACTTTTTGTAGGCGATCAATCCAAATCTCACAAAATCAAAACGATACTTATAGAAAGCAAGATACATATTAAGCCAAAAGAGAAGAAATCACCTTCTTAAAATTTAAACAATAAAACAAAAACAAATAAATAATACAGTAAATTAATTCATTTACTTAACTGAGACCTCAGATGTTATACTTAAGGGGACTGAAAAATGTGTATTCCATGATACAGTTATTAACAACATTCTTTTAAACATATTAAACTTAAGAACATGAATAACGAAATACAAATTGGTGAAAGTCTCCCATATCAAATTTCAAAGACAATTTGTCGAATTGTAATGCAATTCTTAGTACTGGTGTTTTCCCTGATAGATTGAAATTTGCTATAATCAGACCACTATTTAAAAAATTGGAAACTCAAAACATTGCTAACACTGCTAACTTCCTTATCGAAAAACTTATGTATGCAAGACTCATTAAGCATATCAAGACAAATAATATATTGGCCCAAGAACAATTTGGTTTCAGGTCTCATTCTTCGACTGAGCAGGCAGCCTTTTCATTGATAGATAGCATCCTACACACTATGAATAATAAGTTAATGGTAGGAGGTGTATTTTGTTATTTTCAAAAAGCGTTTGACAGTGTCAATCACAAAATATTATTGGACAAGTTAATATTTTACGGAATAGAAGGAAAATTCAAAACACTCATAGAATCTTATCTAACGGATAGATATCAAAAAGTTGTAATAGGTAACAGATTTGACTGCAGAAGTTCTTCTGAATGGGAAGTAATTAAGTGCGGTGTTCCTCGAGGATCAATCCTTGGCCCGCTTTTATTCCTACTTTATATTAATGACTTACCTTCAATAATCAACAAAAACAATAAAATAGTACTTTTTGCAGATGGCACGAGTATTATAGTAACTGACACAAACAAGCTAGATTTTGAAACTAATCTTAATCAAACTCTTAAAGACATTGATGCATTGTTTAATGCTAATTTGCTCACTTTGAATTTTAACAAATCTCAGTATGTTGAATTTCGTTCCATGAATTATTATAACATTACTTCCAAAATTGTAGATGATCAAATTAAATTAATCAAGACGTCAGAAACAAAACTATTAGGTTTAATCATTGATGATACCCGCACATGGAAACAACATATTGACTACGTTATCAATATAATTTCAAGGTCAGGTTATGCATTGAGAAATATAAAGCATTTTATTCCATTAGATTCATTAAAGTCAATTTATTTTGCCCACATACATTCGATCTTAAGCTATGGCATAATTTTTTGGGGTGGTGCTTCCTCTGCTGGCAATGTTTTTATACTAAAAAGAAGGCTATTAGAATTATCATGAATTCTGGTTCAAGAGTGTCTTGTAGACATTTATTTGAGAAGCTTGAAATAACGACATTCTATTCTCAATTAATATACTCATTAATTTTATTTATGATTAATAATAACCATCTTTTCAGTTCTATTAATGAGATTCACAAGTATAAAACCAGATCTCTTAATAATCTCTATTTACCTTCTGTAAACTTAACAAAGTACAGTAAGGGTGCATATATAGCAGGCATTAAAGCCTTTAATCATTTACCTCAAGCTTTAAAAGGGTTCACTTCTGACGTGCTAAATTTTAAGAGAGCACTGAAGAGATTTTTACTTCATCACTCTTTTTATTCTATGAAAGAATACTATCAACATAAGTGGTTATAATATGCAAACGTATTACAGCTTAACAACTGTAATATACTTTTAGTCTAGAAATCTACAGCAGTTCTATTTAAGACATTAGGAGCAACTATTTGATTGGATTAATGAATCTGAATATAGAAATTAGAATTTTAATAGTTTTAAATGTGTTTTGAAGTATATACAGTATGGGTCTATGGGAGTTAAATATGATGATGATGATGATGATGATGATGATATCAACATAATGGGTCATACGTGTGTAATTTTGTGACTGTATTTGTTTTAGTTAATATGGGTATTTTATATGAAATGGTGTAAATACAAGTTTTATAGTAAGTTATTTTTAAGTATGTCTATTAACTGAATCTTATTAAATTCTTTTACCTTATAATATTATTTATGTTCATAGATTGATGTAAGTGACTTTGTTTGATTGACTCATGCAATTTTGTATATACATGTTGATGTATCTGTATTCAAAAGGACCATTTCCACATACTGGTTTGTTAACCTGTATATATGGAAAATAAAATGAAATGAAATGAAATGAAATGAAAAAGAAATCAGTGGATAGGTTTATGGGACATACAAAAAATTCCATTTATATCTTTATGAGAACTATGCTTTATAATGGATCAATATAGCTGAAAATTGAAACTGCCCAAGAATTTTCGGTGTAGATTTTGCATATCAAATTAGAATTACAGCTGCAAAGTGGACTATAGGATACATGGGTATGTCTTTTTTTTTTTTTTTGCCATATACAAACCAAGTGTTATTATGGATCAATATGGTTGACAGTTGTCACTGTCTGACAGCTATTAGAGAATGGTCTCATATCGAATTTTAAGAAAATCTGTCCAAAGTGTCAGGCATCAATACTATGTAACAGACAGGCCTGACCTCCACATAAGGCATTCTTCTATCAACATTTCTTTTTAATTTGCAAAGAACACTTAACAAGGATATGTATAGAATCTCAAAAAATAACTCTTAAAAATACTTAAAATTGTGTAATAAAATAGTAAGACCTATTCTATCTCATCTAGATTGAAGTCTGGGTAATAAGAGAAAAAAAATTATTTATTGAATCAATCAATCAAAGCTGCTGAAACAACTTTCTTCAATCAATAAAGGTAACTGCACTACCAGATCAAAAAGGAATGAAATTATTGGAAGGGAACTGCAAATTAATAACATTACAGATACAAGAATGCTCTGAGATCAAAGAAGGAATTTCAAATTAAATAAACAATGGTGTGATCACATTAAAAAATGGAAGAAAGATGTATCTCAAAGATAGTTCTGCATTATGTTCCATGAAGATAATGGATATAAAGTGTCAAAGGTGATTTTCTTGGCAGGCCACTGGACATAACCTTGAAGTTGCTATTGCTGAGAATCATTTTGATCTCAGACTGTCATTCCCAAGTTCTTGAACTTTGCCACATTGTTGAAGGACTTACTAGCTATCTCTACACTATTATTTTGTCCTGTATTCTGCTACTGAGTTATGAAACACCTTACATATAATCATAATTTCTTTAAATATCTTAATAACTTACTCAGTACACTAAACATCAGTCAGATATAGCGATTAGGCTACGAGCTGGACTAAAGAACTGTGGTTTGATTCCCAGGTCTACAATGGTTCTTGGGCCCAACCAGCCTCCTATCCAAAGGATACCATGGGTTCTTTCACAAAGAAGCAAGAACATGAAGTTGTATTTTAGCGTCCTGTTGCACTGATTTTCATCCATGATATGTATACAGTGGCCGTCTTGTAGTGCACTCAATTTCACCTGTTACCTGACGACATGTTTCGACAACATAATGCCATCATCAGGTGCCCTAATTACGCTAATCTATTGCATTGCTTGCCCTCATATGTCTTCACAACACAATTTAAAAAGTATTTAAAAAGTGCGTATTGCCAACTATAATAAATTTACATGCACTAAAACTTGTTAAGATGAATAATCTTAACAAGTTTTAGTGCGTGTAAATTTATTATAGTTGACAATACGCACTTTTTAAATACTTTTTAAATTGTGTTGTGAAGACATATGAGGGCAAGCAATGCAATAGATTAGCGTAATTAGGGCACCTGATGATGGCATTATGTTGTCGAAACATGTCGTGAAGTAACAGGTGAAATTGAGTGCACTACAAGACGGCCACTGCATACATATCATGGAAGAACATGTAGTTCAGCACTCACCTCCATTAAGCAGCAAGGTTAAAAATGTGTAATGCTACACCTCCACTCCCCCATCTGTCTTCAAGGTGTGGTACATGAACATGTATAGGGACACCTTTACCTTACTAAACTAACTTTTAGTTTTGGTTTCAGCATTCATCAATATTTCCTGAGGGCAAACGTTCTGTTGACAAGAGAGTTTACACTATTGCACTGGCAGGATTAATACAAGCGAATAACAAAATAAGAACTTACATCCTTGTAAATGCGGTACTGATCTATGGCCCACACTGTCGGCACATGGGTAGTTAGAAGTTGAGAGAGTGAAACATGTTTGTTGCATGCCCGGGCACAGATGAGACGTGTCTTGCCCACTGCCGTGTCTCCCACCACCACACATTTCACCAGCTCCTGATGGGGTTGTTCATTATCCATTATCATGAGCCATTATCTAGGCAGCACCCTGAAACAACAGAAACAATAGAGGTAACCCTCTGCATATACCTTGTCTATAACAGAGAGAGTGAGTAAGGTTTTAACAGTTGCATGTACCGTATTTACACATGTATAGGCCACATATTTTTAGCCAAAAATTCAAGAGGAAAACTGGGGTGCAGCTTATATTCGAAATATTCGAAATCACACTTCATTTAAAAAAAAATATATATTCATAATTAGTAATACAGGGTGTTCAAAGATCGAGGAAACTGGGGCAGCAGAGTAGAGCGGATGGAACGTTTCTCCGCAACTATGTTGCCAAATTTCGGAATAATTTCTACTCCTGAAATAATATTCCAAGAAAATTATTTTTTCTACAATTTCTGTCTGAAAATTGTGCTGCGGCCTATACACGCACGCGGCCTATACATGCGTAAATACGGTATTTTACATTAGATGAATAATAAATTCTGCACGTTAACGGTTAAAGAAATTAACATTATTCTTCCATGAATTATATTTCTTGTGCCCTCATTGAGCAGTGCAAACAGCCTACGTCTGGCCACACACATTTAAAGTCCTCATGTTAGATGTTGACTTTTATGGTGACTAGGACCAATCCTTCACAAAATCAGCCAGTTCTTTTACTTTGGTAACAAATCTGCAGGCTGACAATTACATAAAAAAATTAAAGCATCCACTGTTCTGCAAATACAAAGAGTTTTTAACTCTGTTCACCAGATCATGGCTACGTGCTCCACAGTGACTGGTGCGCTGTTTGTCCCAAGGTGCATACGAATTTTGTTGATGAATCAGCTTGCCTGATGGCTGATAACGTTTGGGATTAAAGGAAGTAATTAACTTGTGGACTGCTTGATGTCATTATGTTTCATGGCAAAGCAGTGTGGTTCATGCATGGGAGTCTGTTCATGATTTGTCAGCAGCAGGCAGCAGGTATCAGCCCCATTAGAAATTTGTTCTCAGTTAGTGTCAGTGAGCAGTGTGATACGTCATGGTGCGGTATACTTTACAGCACCATGTGTTTTTGTATGACACCTATGTGAAGCACGGATCTGCTAGAAAATGTCAGCAAAAATTCCATGATGAAAGAGCTCCTAGCAGACAAACAATACAAAATTTGGTGAATAAACTTAGAACAATGGGGCTCTTATTAAATAACAAACAAAAACATAAGTGCCAAGTGCGTACTGAGGAGAAGCCATATAACATAGGGGCCAGTCTTGAACATACAACTAGAAAATCACTAAAATGTCTAGCTCAAAAGACTGGAGTGTCAGAGTCTACTGCAAGAACAGCAACATAATTGCTGAAGTTTACACCCTACAAAAAAACAGTAATGCATGCCTTGGAGCCATGTGATGGAGCTAGCAGGGTTCATTTTTGCAGGTATTATCTACAGTGTTGTCAAAGATGAGATTGATCCACAATTGACATTCTTTTCTGATGAAGCACGGTTTCACTTGCAGGGATACATAAATGTGCAAATTAATCACTACTTGGATCACAGAATCCACATCTATGCCACCAAGTACCATTTCATCTAGTGAAAGTTGGTGTCTGGTGTGCTGCAAGTGAAAGAATGTTTGTTTTACCTGTGTTTTTAATGAAACAATTACTTGCGAAAGATCACTACGTGTAGAGGGACAACATTTTCAACACCTTCTGTGAACTGTGAATTGTAACTACTTCATTCCTAATGTTATCAGCCATCAGGTATGCTGATTCATAAGAAAAATTTACATGTGCCTCATGGCAAGCGGCACCCCTGTTGCCATGAAGCATAGAGCAGTGGAACTGGTCAACATAGTAAAAAACCTGTATGTACTTTAAGTGTAATGACAATGTGGCCATGGACATACATACTTTCTTCAGTCCATTTAGATTCAGGTCTATGTCAAAGGCCCATAATTGGACTGACAAAATTTTAAAATTCAACAAGATAAATTTAAGTGTATGATCTTTTGAGTTGTAATGCTGTATATTTCAGAAAAAGTCCATTAACATTATGGAGGAACCATCATCTCCACCTTCAAGGTCAAAGAGCAAGACAAGCAAGAAACCAGCAAGCACAGTCTGACTCTACTCGCTGGACTTCCAACCTTTTAAGATATATAATTATTTGTTTATGGTTCTTGCTATTTTCATCATCTTGACTGAAACATTTGAAATAAAGTAAGTACTATAACTTATTTCCAGTAAGTACTGTTATATATTCACTACAATTAAATTCAATTTCAGGTAAAATAAATTAAAAATCTGCATTAACTGAAGTGTAGAACAAATGTAAGAAGTATTTACTGGCAGGAATGGTTCATATACTCCCACATACCACCAGCATCACTGAAATCATATGTATGTAACATGAATAATTTGGGTATTTATACTGTATATTTGCACTCTTTGCTCATGTTAATAACCATAATAAAAGAGTCAGGTAATTTAAAAACATTACATGACTGCTGAGTCCAAGTTGCCAAACATGTGCCAGTACATAACACAACAGTACCAAGGCTAACAACAAATATAATTTGAATTCTTTGTGTTATACATACCTATTAAAAACAAATTAATGAAATCAATATTATTATAAAAATATTATATACATATACAAGTATAAATACAACTGCACTTCAGTGGTGTGCAATTTACGGTTCATGGCGGCTATTATTCTCGTAAAAATTAGACTCAGTTATATGAAAGTTCTATTTTATGACTTCCACTATATTATAAACAGCTTTCAGCAAATATTTCAATAAACCTTTGTAGTAGTACACTAACATAACTACAGTTAATTAATGTACTGGCTAAATATAATTCTAAAAGTTAAAAAAGAAAGGCCTATCACCACCATCACTTAAGAATTAAAGAGTAATTAACTATATAAATACCTTGGTAAATGAAGGGGCCACCTAATGAGATTCAAGCTTGAACACATCCTGGACTTACAACATACACATAATTCCATAGAATAGTGTCTACCTTTAATGGTGTCACTTAACAACTAGCCAGACGATTCCTTGGTTTTATAGCACAAGATTCAACACTACATTCACAACAGCCCCACAACACTCTAATCTGAAGCAGGTGAACCCAGACCACACCATCACATCCTTAACTTCTCTATGATTCACTTTAAAATCATCCTCCCTTCTACACTTAGGTCTCACAAATGATCCCTTTCTTTGAGATTTTCTAACCAAAATTTTGTTGCACTCCTCATTACTTACAGTGTGATCTTTCTTATCATCTGACACTTCAAAATTTAACTTCATTACTGAATATAACTGTATGAAACTTTCACAGGTCATTCTACGCATTATTTAAATATGTTTGTTGCTGTTGGCAAAGCTGAACTAAGTAACAAGATGGCATCATATACAACATACCATAAAGTAATTACCATCAAAACCTTTCATTCTTTAGGTGATTTTTGTGTTGCTGTGGAAAGAAAATATCACTGAAAGTTTTCTGTTGGTGTTGCACCATAAAGACCTAACAGACCGAATAATCAGGAAGTGTATATAATAAGTGTGTGTGAAGAGATATCAATGTAATGCATCTGTTCATGTGGTAGAAGATGTCAGTGTAGCACCTGAGGCAAAAACAAGAAGCCCAAGCACACCAAATAGAGGTCTCAACAAGCATTACATGGAAAATCTGTTATGATGACTTCTCACTGTTTGCTAAGAAAACACATCCGTGTCAGCCACTGTTGGAAGATGGAACAGTGAGACATTACACTTTCGTGAGGGTGTATGGAGCATAAATAGTGGACAATCCAGGTGTCTTGAACGTCCCATGGTTCTCCAATGAAACACACTTTCACTTGGATGGCTACATTAACAAGCAAGCTGTCTGATTCTAGGCCTCAGAGAATCAAAGACTTGCACTGCCACCCCACTGCATCCAAAGACATACAGAATTAATGCTCAGATTACTGGGCATCAGAATATTGCCTTGCTTTTATCAGTGGTATATTCACTTCAGCTTGTCACAGCAGCTACGCGGTCTAAGGGATGAACTGTCTTTGCTCGCTTTGAAGCGGGGATCATGGGTCCAAATCCCACTTAAGGCATAGATGTCTGGTGTGTGTACACGTTTATTCTGTGTCTGTGTTGTCTTGTGTTTAGGTAGAAGCCTTGAACAAACTGATCACTAGTCCAAGGACTCCCGTCCCCTTCCTGATGGTATATGGCATTCCAATTAATTCAGCCTGGTTTAAACAAGACTGTGCCACACTTCACAAAAACAATACTGTACTTCACTTCCTGTTGAACCAGTATCCTATGCTATTTGAGCTTCATGGCCACCAACCTCACCAGCCTTAAATCCTTGTGATTATTTTCTGTAAAGGTTATTGAAGGGCACTAGGTTTCATAAAAATCCTAAACCAGTTTTGGAACTGAATACTGCCATCCAATCAGAGAATGAAGACATTTCTACAGAAGCTCTAATATAGGTTTTGAACAATTTTGTTCTTCATTTGCATTAAGTTCATGATCTTTGAGGACATAAGATGGAACATATTAAGTATAACATACAAATTTCTGAAGTGTGTAGAAAGATCTGTGAAAGTTTCATACAATTGCACTCAATCACAAAGAAGTTACATACATATTAAAGTGTCTGATGATAAAAAAAACACCACATATATTGCATATATTTAAGCCTCTTAACCCTTAACTCTCATGAGAACAAAGTTTTGTCATAACTGAAATGTAACTTAACCAGATTACAGTACATGCTGAAAACATTTTCTGCTGTGTGGCATGCATTCTTGGCACCTTCATAAAACATCTATATCCTCACGCTAAAGACACCCCCCACCATCCACCTTCAGAAACAGATTAAACTTGAAACCTGAGTTTCCAGTCTCCTGTGTAAGGCTTCTAAGGGATCTGAGGAGGATGTTCATGCACAGCACTTCTAAACTCAACTTCTCTTCAGCAAGCACTTGGCACTTCAACTGTTATTTGTGTGTATATGTGTCCAGCAATGATGAAATTGGCACCCTAACAACATACAACATTTCCAGCATCTGCTGTAATCTTGAATGTCTTAGTCTACAGGTTTGTGAATTATGTTAGCAGCCTGAACCTCCACAGTCTGATTAGATGGGAGGAGTGGCAGACACTTCTGCCTGAGCAGTTCAACTGCTTGTAGTAGTCTCTAAGATGATCACATTCTAGTGGGTATCATTAAAATCTTGAACATCGGTTTGTTAACAAATATTCATGACCTAGCAAACTTCATGCGGTATGAGATATGCTCTAACTTACTACTTCTCTATTAGCATGACAAAATGTCTGGTACTGTCAATATCAAGATCTACCATTTGGCAGTACCATTCCATTTCTCACCCTTGCAATGTATTTCCCTAACTTTCATCTTAATATTCTTCTATTCCACCCCCTCCCAACCCAGTCCTTCCTAGCAGCTACTTTACAAAAGGCTTTCTCACCACATACTACATACATTTTTCATTTCTACAGTTTAGGGATAAAATATTCATGACAACCTCTGATTCTAACAACATTTTTCAAGCTTGTCAGATCTCCTTAGAAAGCAACATATACAAAAATTTACCTTCCTGTGTCCATTACGTGCAGAGATACAACATTTTCAAATTCTAAGTTTTACCTAAATTTCCTGCATTCTGATTCATTTGCATGCTTGTAACTTTGGTTCTAATTAAGATACTGAGCACATTCTTGCAATGACTTGAAAGCTCTTAAAGTGGGGTTGCTTTCAGTTGGCACGTCACCCACAATATTTTAGGGCACATTAACATTTTGACATTAACTTTAACATTTGATCTCAGCTATGAAAGTGTATAGCTAGATTTATGCAAGATTTTCCCACAACATTTAGTGATCATTTCTGCATATCTCTGAAAATATCATACTGGGCCACTGAAGTGGCAATTTTCTGTCATTGCTCTGATTATGCATTAGTCATGCTGTGACCTGTACAGACATGCTGCAGGGCATCATGACTCGTTCAGCCTTTCAGTTCATACTTGATGCCAGTACACTTAGTTCTGTTTCCTTGAAAAAATCCAACGACTTCATCGGGACTTGAACCCGCGACCTTCTGGCTTGTAGCATAGTCCCTCATGTATAACAGATAATTGTCCTTTGGGCGATGGTACTAAAATACTATGTTACTAATTCTGTCTGTTATGTGGGAATTCTTTTCTTTCTGAAATCACTGGTTGGCAGACTCCTCAATTTGGCTTAAACATACAATCAACATTTAATCTAAATCTAAAATGGATATTTGTCTTTAAAAACCACTACAATATCACCTGTATATGTTCCCCTTAAAACATGGTTGGGTGTATTCACTGCTACACTATTAATACATTTTTCAACTACCAATTGCATGCAATATTCCTCAATGTATGTATATATATATATATGTAAAGAATATCTATTTAAAGCAACTAATTTTCTAGGTAATGTAGATAAGCCCTTCTAAAGAAGTATGGTGTGAGTGTGTGGGCTGGATTCATCTGGCTCTAGTCAGATTCACTTGCAGGCTCTTGTGAAAACAGTAATGGACTTTAAGGTTCCATAAAAAGTGATGCATATCTGAGCTAGCAGGGTGATTATCAGCTTCACAAGGACTTTGCACAATGAAGTTAATTATTTATATCTGAATATGATTCATTGCAAGGATTATATTTAATGTCCTGAGAACATAAATGCTCCACAGAACTTCAATGGTGTAAGAATCTAAGACAGAAGTCCATTAGCATGATGTGAATTCAAACGATTTCATCCTGCGTTACTGTACTGACTAGCCAAGATATGTTATGCCTGAAATTCCCTTCAGTTTACTAAACCCACTACAATGTTCTTTCACAAACTTTCTTACACCAACTGAGAAAAACAACACAAGAGCTTTTACAACNATAGCAGTAGTAGTAGTAGTAGTGGTGGTAGCTGTAGTAGTAGTAGCAGGAGCAAGAGTAGTAGTAGTAGTGGCCGCGCCATAGCTCAAGCGGTTAGTCGCTGGCTTCCCACTGCGGAGGCCCGGGTTCGATCCCGGGTGTGGTCAAGTGGGATTTGTGGTGGACAAAGTGGCGCTGGGGCAGGTTTTCTCCGAGTACTTCGGTTTCCCCTGCCAATCTTAATTCCACCAACTGCTCCACAATCACCCTCACCTATCATCTGGGGCTGGTACAATAGGCCAGAAGTGGCCGCAGTACAAGGGACTTGGTCCCACCCCACTAGCATTAAAAAAACAGTAGTAGTAGTAGTAGCAGTAGTATAATTGTTTTCGTGTTAAATTCTTTGCTTCCTCATTTTACTCATTTAACATACTGTGAAATGTACGTAAAGTACACTGATATTTGCACCGTACTAGGTGAAAAATATTCCAACCGAAATGGCATTGATTATTCAAAACCTAAGAGGCGTGACAATCAATGTCTCGCTTCCGGAACCTACTCGACGTTTGCCTGACATGGATGTGCTAGGGCAATTAGATCCGCCATTCATCCAGCCTGTGCACAGCCAATCTCATTCAGGTGGCTCCTCCCCCGACGGTCGGTCCAGTGTCGGATAAGGGCTGGCTCGTACGTGGTGCATCGAACTCCATCCACTAAATGAACAGGGATAACTCTCCCAACTAAGGAGGCTCATAAACCACGCGGTGATGCTATTAAGTTCAACGCTTAATTTCCACACACTTTTTCTTCCATCGGATCGTTCCCATAATCCATGCTAATCTCACTTCGGATTCGATGTTCTTCTCTAAGTCCACTTTCGTAAATTCCGTAATGAGAAATAACAATGTCATTTACTTAACGAATAAGTCAATTGTACTTCACGTTGGCAACCTACGATAAGAAAAGTGAAGAAAGTGCCGAAACACTGGCAGCAAAACTGTATTAAATTAAATATATGGTTGATACTCCCGTGAGGACACGACTGGGATGAAAGAATGAGAAAATGTTGATTGCTTCAGCTGTCTGGATGTTTAAGGCTGCTGTTTCTATGACTGTCCCACCGCTTACTACAAATAATGAATAGCTCCATGTTCCAATTTCGGTTCTGTTTATACAACTTAATTCCGATAAACGACCGATTCAGAGGGCAATTATACTGTTCTTCACTGCGAAAGATGATTTAAAAGCGAGAACAATTTTGTTTTCGGGGAAATTTAGTTTTAAAATACTAATTTTTCTTCGATTTTCCGATAAATTTTAAAAATTCCAAAACCGAAAAGAATGTGCATGAATATGCGCCACAAATAAAATCCGCTTAAACAACCAATTTTCGGCGTTATATGTGCAGCGAAAAGGGTCCATGACCTTAATTTATGTATTTACAAAACTGTCTGATCCTTAATAAAATCAAACCTTGCGTTGCAACTGCTTTTGGACGTCACACATTTACTGGCAGCAGCAACATGAAGGAACGCACGTACACACGATCCTGCCCACACGCTAAACAATGGACAAGCTACCAAGCGCACTAAACCGTCCGACTATTGGAAACGCTGGGAGCTACTGCCAAGTTTAGTCGCAACGCTCCTCAAATACCAGTCAGTCGAGGCAGACACGCGTTGGAATTGTTTACTCTTGGGGAAAAGCGCTGATATGAATAAAATGGATGCAGCTCTCTTCACAGCTACACTTGAAGTCAAGTACTTTTAACGAATCTTGGAGACCCAAGCAGACAGGACTGACACTAATGTAACTTCAAATAACCACGACGCGCATCTCAATCAATCAGCAGACAGCATTTGGCTCCAAAGTCATGACGCTAAACTATAGTCCTAAACTCGTTTAAAACAACGATGCACTGAAGAGTTCGGTCTTCTGGGTTGTAACGCCGTGCAGTTCGGACACAGCCACACATTCGGAGGAACATATCGCTTCCATCTTCATGATCGAAGAGTACCTAAGTCAAGCAAGAAACCAGCAGAAGCGGGCTGCAAGCTGAAACCGTACTCTTCACAGACCTCTGAGCTAAATTAGGCAAAAAGTTTCCCGCCCAAGTAGTTTTCAATGCCTCTGGTAGATGGGGGAAGTATCAGGTACCGAGGGCCGACCTCGTTGGCTGAACGGGGCTGATATCATGCACCAGTACCGGTAGGGTATGGCGACTGGTAGACTATCATTAGTAGACTATTAGTCGCGGTGCATGGGGGAACCCACCCCCTCTAATAATAATAATAATAATAATAATATCGCCGTGAGAACCTCGCATCCAACAATAATACACTATAACATGTCTGAATGACTGCTCTGGAAGGGACATTCGCAAAAGTTCTATGACACTTCATATTACAAAATTTCAATTCCAGTCGGTGGCCGTGCAAGATCTCCAGCCTCCGTACCCTGCCATCGTAGTCAAGAATTTTTCGTTGTCGTGTGTCCTGTACTCATAAATTAAAGAGCCCCAACGATGGGGTTCCCTTACATGTCCATAAAGTTTGGTGATCTCCGCATTAAAGCTAAATCCTTGTTAAAAGAAGCTGTGCCGTTCTTAGAGTATGAGATCAGACAACAGTACGGCCTCTATCATTAGTATTACATTTAACCGCCATGCAGTACGAGGAAGAGTCAGTAAATAGGTCACAAATGGAAGTTAAAGAGATCTAATATACGTAATAAGTTTTCTGTTAGTATCAGTAAGTAGCAGCACAGTCCAGCTTCACGACAGTCTAGGTAGCAGACGCGCATGCGTATGGTCAGAGACTGGTTTCAGTAGTCAATATGGTGACCGTGCTTGAGGCTGTACTACCGAGAAGCAACGTTCTCTTGTGCGTTTTTTTTTTTTTTTTGGATAAAAGGACTCAGTGCAAAGGATATTCATAAATAAATATTTCCTGTTTACGGTGGGAAGAGTTTGTCGCGTAAAGTGGTTTATAACAGGGTCGAAAAAATCTCTCAAGGACGTTCGAAAGTCGCAAATGATGCCCGACCAGGTCGAAAGTGGCTGAGACAACGGTCAAAAGACTATGCCGCGGGTTTCGGCGCACTGGTAAAGCGATGGGGCAACTGTTGGTGGATATGTCTAGAAATAAAAGTTCTTTCCGGGTTCAAATATCACAAGTTTTAGGTTTTATATCCATTTGTTACCTATTTACCGACTTCAAGTCGTATTACTTTATATAACATGGGCCTAAGATTTTAACCACTGTACAACTAAAAATGTTTATAACGGACCCTGTACTAAGTGGAAACTCCTGATAGCGGCAACTTTTAGGCCAGTAAATTTAGAGAGAAAAAAAAAGTGAGTGTAATTCCACCTGATATAAACGGAAAATGTGTAACACGGAAACGGAAAATAAAAGATTCTAATGGATAATATTCTAATACTTTTTGCATTCTCTTCCCACTACTGTATATTAAGACGATCACAGAGGCCGCGCGGTCTAAGGCATGAACCGTCTTCGCCCGCTTGAACATTTGGATCCTGGATTCGAATCCCACTTGAGGCATGGATGTCTGCGTACGTTTATTATGTTTGTGTTGTTCTGTGTGTAGGTAGCGACCTTCCGAGTGGCTGATCCCCCGTCCAAGGAGCCCTGCCGATTGTGTATAGGATTAAGAAATTGAAAAAGTGTCCAGGGTCCACAAGGGCTGTAGAGCCACAGACAGACAGAGAAATTAAAGAGGTGGGTGGGTAGACAGACAGACAGACAGACAGAGATAGATAGATAGATAGATAGATAGATAGATAGATAGATAGATAGACTGTATAAATTAGTTCTTTTTCCCCCTCCAACTGTATTTCCCGTCTAACTGCACCCTCTCACTTCTATCGTTCATTAGCAGGTACTATGTATAGGGGGGAAGCTTAGTGAAGGCCAAAAGACAGGTGTGGGCAAATGACGCTGGAAAATCCAGGTTTCACCCCATACAGTGACATTCGTACGTACTTTTCAGTTCCATTCCTGATAATACAGTGGCATTTGGAGTCGGGATCCCTAAACTGGTATAGCGACAGGCTAAGGGCTGGGCGGCCAGGGTTCGATTCCTGGCAATGCAAGATTTTTCCATTCTCAACAGCATCCAAGCCGGCTCTGGGGCTCACCCAGCCTCCTATCCAATGGGCACCGGAGGCTCTTTCCCCGGAGGTAAAGCGGGAGGGCCTTGAAGCTGACCATTGACCTTAATTTTGTGCCGAGGCCAAGAATTGTGGAGCTATATCTCCACTCCCCCATATGTCTTAATGGCGTAGTGCGTAAATCGTTAAGCACATGGACAACTTTTTTACCTTTAACGACACCTGATAAAAAAAGTTTGCCGTTATGCAATGGACAACCATGCCACTGAGATATATTTGTTTTTCAATTAGTTGTGTCTATGGCCTCGAAGAAAAGAGTGGTGCTTGGGTTCAACACAAAAATAAAAGTGATGGAAGCAAGTGAAGAAGCCAAGTTGTCAGTGGAATAAATCGTCACAAAGTTTAGCGCTGGGAAAACTCATGTGTGTGACTTATTATAAACCAAGTCGGAACCAAAAAAATCGGGGGCAAAATTGTAGCAATGGTTCTATGAAACGAAAATTAATAAAAACTAGACATGACATAAAAGAAATTGTGTGGGATTGGTTTCTAAGTGCGAGAGCTAGGAACTTTCGAATACATGGACCAATTATACAGGAAAAAAAAACTCCGTGGCCTGTAGTCCGCAAGAAAACTATACTGACCGAGCGACCGCCGCTTCTCGGCGAAATTGTGCCAATTTTTGCGGATATAGGGTGTCACGTGGTCAGCGCAACGGGTCCTACGGCTGTTAATCTCGGGTTTCTAGACCGGAGTCGCTATTTCCTTGAAACAGCTGCTCAATTATCCTCATGAGGCCGAGTGGACCTCGTTCCAGACCCACTTCTCAGAAAATCTGGTAGTGCTAGGTATCGAACCCGGGACCTCTGGACCTGCATGCAGGAACTCCGACCACTAGACCACAGAGGCGGTCAGTGATACAGGAGCATGCAAAAAAAGTTGTTAAAAAACTGTGTCACTTCACGGCACGCTTAAAAAGTTTAGGAAAGGGACATCAGATTGTGTGTAATTAGGTCTGTGGTGAATCTGGTGATTCTAGTGAGGAAACTGTAGCAAATCTGGCTGTCCACCTGGCTTCACTTATGGAAGGATGTTAACAAAAGGATATCGCAAATGGAGATGTAACGGGGCTATTTAGTACATGTTTAGAAAACCTTAGTGCACTATTGGAATTAATAAGCAACGCATGTATTCGTAATGCGATTAAAACAGTATCACTTTTCAGCATAAGATTATGAAGCCAGTGCAGCAGAATACAGGGGAAATTGTCTGAGTAAGGTCAAAATTAAATTAGCGACCGATTTAATTTCGGTCCTTCCTGTGCTGTCGGATACTGACCCGGACGAAATCTTAAAATTCCTGATCCGTGCGAAGGAAGTTTTGACCTAAAATTGATTTCTGATTCCGAGTTTATGGCGGCTTCTGGTCAGTAGGACGTCAGGTAGGATTCCGCAAATTCTGGGAGCTCATTTAGGCATGACCCAAGGTTGGGGTCTGGTTCAAACGGAGATTATTATCACTTTTCTTCCTCCTCGTGTGAAGGAAAAATTTTTAGCATCGCATGTTCTTGAGAGGTTTCAATCTTCGGGCGAAGATTTGAGTAGTTATGTCATGTAGGATTTGAGGCTTTCACGGCGGTGACTATGAAGAAAGCAGTCTTTTGGGATTTGGCACCGTGTATATGTGGTGTTAACCGACGTTTCGGAGGAACGTATTGCCTTCATCTTCAGGGTAGAAGAAAAAATATAAGAAATCTGCAAGCGAAGAGACCGTGAGAACCGGTAAAAGCACTCCATCTTCAGGCGATACGTTCCTCCGAAACGTTGGTTAACACCACATATACACGGTACCAAATCCCAAAAGACTGCTTTCTTCGTAGTTATGTCATGTCAGTGGTGGCGGCTGAGGATATCTTAGGATTTTCTGGCTCGGAATCTCAGCTAGTGCAGCGAATGCTGCAAAATCTTCATTCCAGAGTGAAATCTTATCTAATGTTTGCAAGTAGGCCGGAGTCTATTTGAGATCTATTTTCGCTTGCTACGACATTGGCGGAAGCGGTGGCGGTTGAGAACCAGCGAAAGCGGCTCAACAAACATCCAGTAAGGATGACTAACACATTTACACAGTTCAGTTACTTATTTAGCAGTTTACTTAATGGCGCTGTCAGTAACTCAGACTATAAAGTATCGAATGATTATCCCGCCAATTGCCTAAAAGGACTATGGAAACCCCGTCAAAACCTCAGTCAAGATAGATGACGACCCGACCAAGCTTCAAACCAGGTACCTCCAAAATACGAGTCAGAAGCGTTACCGCTTGAGCCAGCTGACTCTGTTTGATCCATAACAAAGCCTGGTTTACATAGGTCATTAATCGCATTTTCCGTGCGTTCCATAGATGCTGTTCCACTTTCACCACAACTTGTCTCGAAGTTCCGATTTACAGCCATCTGACTCATACATCATAAAGGTTTGTTTGGATATGGACTTTCCCATTC